ATATAGGTAATTTTATAATTGTCTTTAATTGTCTTTCAATTGTCTTTATTTTATCGCGCAGGGCACTTATTTGAATTTATAATTATAACTAACTAGCGGGTATAACCCGGCCTTGCCCGTGGTACGAATGTTATAAAATCAATGTTCTCAAACAAATTTGAAATGATTTAGAAACTGATCGGACGGTAATCGAATAACTTTCATACAAACGTTTTCCGCCAATTTACCACTGTTGCGAGTGGAATTTCCCAAATCGCTGAAACACGTATTCATTTCATTCTTATGTAGAGCTTTGAAAATAAGTTTGAAGCAAATCGGACACAATTTAAAACTTCGCACAAAAAATCTTTAAATCGCATTCCACCCGAAAAAGTTTGGATTCTGCGAAAAGTGTGAAACACGTCTGAAATGATTTTTCTTATAGATCTGTGGAAATGAATTTGAGCGCGAAACGTCACCCCCTAAATCTTTGACCTCCATTTCCACCAAGGAGGAACGGATTTTTCGAAAAGTGTGAAACACCCCTTAAATGAATTTGAACAAAGATCTTTGAAAATAAGTTTGGGTCCGATCGGATGGTAAACAAAAAACTTTCATACAACCGTTTTCCGCCAATTTACCACTGTTGCGGGTGGAATTTCCCAAATCGCTGAAATACGTATTTATTAAGTTCTTATGTAGAGCTTTGAAAATAAGTTTGAAGCAAATCGGACACAACTTAAAACTTCACCCAAAAAATCTTTAAATCGCATTCCCCCCCGAAGAAGTTTGAATTCTGCGAAAAGTGTGAAACACGTCTCAAATGATTTTTCATATAGATCACTGGAAATGAATTTGAGTGCGAAACGTCACCCACCAAATCTTTGACCTCCATTTCCACCAAGGAGGAATGGATTTTTCAAAAAGTGTGAAACACCCCTTAAATGAATTTAAACATAGATCTTTAAATATGAATTTGGGGCAGATCGGATGGTAAACAAAAAACTTTCATACAACCTTTTTCCGCCAATTTACCACTGTTACGGGTGGAATTTTCCAAATCGCTGAAATACGTACTTATTAAGTTCTTATGAAGAGCTTTAAAAATAAGTTTGAAGCAAATCGGACACAACTTAAAACGCCGCCCAAAAAATCTTTAAATCGCATTCCCCCCGAAGAAGTTTGAATTCTGCGAAAAGTTAGAAACACGTCTCAAATGATTTTTCATATAGATCACTGGAAATGAATTTGAGCGCGAAACGTCACCCACCAAATCTTTGTCCTCCATTTCCACCAAGGAGGAACGGATTTTTCGAAAAGTGTGAAACACCCATTAAATGAATTTGAACAAAGATCTTTGAAAATAAGTTTGGGTCCGATCGGATGGTAAACAAAAAACTTTCATACAACCGTTTTCCGCCAATTTACCACTGTTGCGGGTGGAATTTCCCAAATCGCTGAAATACGTATTTATTAAGTTCTTATGTAGAAGTGTGAAACACCCCTCAAATGAATTTGAGCAAAGATCTTTGAAAATAAGTTTGATAAGGCCGATCGGATGGTAAACAAAAAAGTTACATACAAACGTTTTTCACGATTTTTCTACACTTGCGGGTGGAATTTCCCGAAACCCCGTCATAACGTGCACCTACATCACATAAGGTAGCTACAGTGAAAATTTCAGCTTCCTAGCTCTTACGGTTTGGGCTGCGCGTTGATCACCAATCAGTCAGTCAGTCAGTCAGTCAGTCAGTCAGTCAGTCGGTCAGGACAAACAGTTTTATATATAGATATTATATTGTTTCTAGGCAGCCAACTCGAACTACTTGGGCCTAGATTGCGATAAAGAGAGTGGGCAGCAGCTTACAAAGAGGGCGCAAACATTATTTGCTCTTAGGCTGTAATTATGATTGTCGTCTTCTGCTCTTGGCTTGTTGTTTATTTGTTGGTTATTTGACCAAACAGATAAAATAATAGCTTCTGTTATTTACGTGTGGTGTGCTGGTTGTGTGACCCATTTTGCAAGATGACATTTGTGGTATTCTTAGATATTTAATTGATTTATTATCCATTGGTGGTCCACTTTTGAGGTGGTGTATTGTCCTCGTGTACCAAACCGAGGCATCCTGTTTCCAAGTTGGACACGTCCTTGGACCATTGAGTGCGCTGCTGCGGAGTGATCAGCTGGTCGCTGGACCAAGACCGCCAAAACTGATGCTTGAGCGCCAACAGCATTCGCGACCGCTTCAAATACGTGAAGCTCGCCTTGCTGTTGGCTTCGTCTAGCCCGGATTTTAGCGGCATCGGAAGAGGCTGCCCAATTAGAAGGTGGCCAGGTGTCAGGGCCTCCCTGGGTCGTTGCGTGGGGACGCAATAGGGCGCGAGTTGAGTAGACCCTCGACTTTTACCAGGTGCGTGCTGAGCTCGTCTAGTGTTAATCTGGCGTTGCCAACTCCTCGTACCAGACGATTCTTCCCGGTGGCCTCCTTCAGCCCTCCGAAATGGGGCGCCCTCGGTGGAATGAACATTCATTCGACGACTCGCTCGGCTGCGAATGCCTGTACTCGATGCTTCTCCCCGTTGAATGGTACCTGGAGATCCATAAGGACGTTCGCAGCTCCCACGAAGTTGGTGGCGTTGTCGCTGTATACCTTCTGAGGAAGACCTCATCTGCCGATGAACCTTTTGAATACAGAGAGAAAACAGTCAGTGGAAAGATCTGCAACAAGTTCCAGGTGAACCGCCTTAGACGCAAAACAAACAAATAAACACGGCTAAATAACATTTGATTGAGGCTCTCCCTCGAATCTCGGCCACAGAAATCTACGCCACAAGCTAAGAAAGGGCGAGCTTCACGCAGTCGACCAGCTGGTAAATTGCAGATATGGATTGTACCGGTAGTAGTGCCCGCATCCCTTAACAATTTTATTGCATGCTGCTTGAGCATTAATAAGCCAGATTTGCTGTCGTTAAATAGCTACCATAATTTTGACCGAGCCATTGTAATTCCTTAGGTGAATGTTTCGAATAAATAACTCGACAAAATTAGATTTTTAAGACAACAATATGGGAAAGTTAGAATCATATGGGATGGATGCATTTAGCCATCTTCCACTAACGCGAATAATTTTGAGATTGGTTTCATTTTCTACAATTTCATGTCATTGGACCAATTCTTGACCATGCTCAGACATTTGCACCCCTTGCACAATTTATAGAAAGGCGAGTCGTTTCGCTTGAAGAAAACGGTTAATGTATGCGATGATACGCACCAATTTAGATTAGCGTCAAGATTTCATTAGACTTCTCTAACGCGACAGATTGAACTGACACTGACTTCTTGTTCTCAAATGATTGCATTTCCAGCGATATTTCAAATTGTAACTTGTAAAAAAAATTCAAGACTATTAAACCAGAGCAAACCAAATCGTCCACATCTGTGCCCCTAGAAACAATTTTAGCTGGATTTGCATCTGACGGCATATAACGCCAGCGAACACCAACATAAAGTTCTCGTATGTCTGCAACTTTGTTGTCCACGAAAATTGCTAATGAACCACGAGTCTCTTTTAAGCTAGCAAAGAGTGACTTGAGAGTCTGACCAAAAATGAATGCTCTCCACCTCATATTCTTAAAAGAGAGAACCGACTTGAGACTACAATGTTTGCCAACAGCGTCGTTGAGCAGCGCATAATTCCAGTCGTGGAATCGATTTTATTTTAAGGGGGCCGCACGAGACTTGGCTGTGAATAATTTCGAAACTACTTTCCCACAGTGACAATGTTGAGTGACGCATCTTCACAACGTAGACGTAAGAGTTGTGCTAAGTCCTCTGACATAAAGTTAATTTCAGATCCAGATTTTTAAAGTGCTCTTGCGTGCTGGAAGTGCCCAAATCTATCTTTTAACCTTAGTACAGCTGTGGCAACCGTGGTCTCTTTTAAGCTAGTAAAGAGTGACTTGAGAGTCTGACCAAAAATGAATGCTCTCCACGTCATATTCCTAAAAGAGAGAAGCGACTTGTGACTACAATGTTTGCCAACAGCGTTGTTGAGCAGCGCATAATTCCAATCGTGGAATCGATTTTATTTTAAGCGGGACCACACGAGACTTGGCTGTGAATAACTTCGAAACTACTTTCCCACAGTGACAATGTTGAATGACGCATCTTCACGACGTTGACGTAAGAGTTGTGAAAAGTCCTCTGACATAAAGTTAATTTGAGATCCAGATTTTAAAAGTGCTCTTGCGTGCTGGAAGTGCCCAAATCTATCTATTAACCTTAGTACAGCTGTGGCTAAGATTACTTGTTAGGCACTAAAAAGATGACTTACATAAGCCTGTTCCTGTGGAGCAGCTGTGGCGGAACTAGAGGGTAGTGATTGCAAATTCTCACTCTCATACCTTTTGTACTGCATGGCCCTGTTTTAAACAGTTAATGAACAAGTTATATTGCTTCACAAACCCAAAGCGTTGATAAACAGGTTAATCGATTGACCATTTGCAAGACTATGATCAGTGCCTGAACAACAGCTGCATTTAGCAACTGCCTTCTGATCGCCTTTGCCTTGGTTTTGTTTTGCTTCTACTTGAGTCTTTGGCAGTTAAATGTTGATATCTCCGATTCAATTTAGCAGTGCAATCTGTCTAAGATGGCAGACTAACACAGTCAAACTGTTCTTTGAATTGAGATTATATTTCTTGGTCTACTTTTGACATTGCCAAGTGAATTAACATGCAATATCTTTGTGATCGCCTAGAGACTGCAGAGACGAATAATAGACCGATATGGTATCTATGAGGCTTCTACGACTTGAGGCTGAAGGTTTGGTCTTGTGAGGAGTTCCATAGATTTGAGAAATCGTGTCAAAAAATATAAGGCATTTATTGTCGTAGACAACCTTTAAACATGATAATGCTCTTTCATAATTGCAGTCTATGATTTGAAATGCCTTTACCGTTTCTAATGCCTCATCAGACAAGCTAGAAATTAATTGGTTAAATTTTTCGATATTTGACAGTGTGGAATCGTCGTGCTCGGAGGTATCTACATTCTTGATCAATGGGAATAAAATAATTATTTGAGATTCAATTAGAGGCAAGATGTTCAACGTGGTGAGTCAAAATGATAAAATAGCATATACATAAATCCGAAACTCAAAAATGCACTTTTAAAGATGATGGAAAGTTACAAGCCATTCGAAATCCGAGAAAACTGCCCGATTAAATTAACAATTTTACCAAACTACAATGATATTATGTTTCAAAAGAGCTCAAGTCGATTCTCAGCGCTATAGTTGGACGAAAGCAAGTTAACGAGTGGGTGCAGCAGGGTATAATACGATCATCATGTTCAAATGTAGAAAGCTAAGTGGTCTTTGCACAAAAGAAAAATTACACTTACAGACTCAGCATAGACGAAAGTGATTCACAGACGAACTATTTTTGAACATTTTTAAGCGAAATTGTTGGATTTGACTTCATGCTGACCCATCCAAAGACAGTTTTGACAAAGACAATATAAACACTAAGATGAGTAACGCCTATACATTTGAATGCGACTCAAAATTTCTAGCCTTGCTACCTATCTGGATTTTATGACTTCTCACGACATGCCAGCCGACTGCTGTTCGATCAGACACGAGCAACGAAGTTAGTCGCCAGCCTGCCTTGCAAAGCTGGTCGATGGTGCTTTGCGTCGCTTCGTTTTCTAAGTACATTGAGCGAAAAAGTTTTGATCTTACGAGCGACGCAAAGTACTTTTGCTTTATCCATGAAATGCATGCTTTTTTTAAATGATACATTACCCTAGATACTAATGCTAAATTTTACAGGAAAATATAAAAGTGAAATAATTTTATCACAGAATGAAGCTTGTGCAATAACAATGGTTAGAAAATAGTACACGTAGATTGATTTTACTTTTCTTTTTGGATGCTCGAGAGAAGTTCTTGTCTCAGCCAATGGCGTGCAAGCACCTATGTATGTATGTGTGAATTATGCATGCATAACTACATCAAAATATGAATATATGTGTTGTTATTCCCTGCTCTGGCTTTGGCTGGTAAAGGAAGAAATTTTATTAGTTTTCTAGCGCTGACCATGATCTAGCCTAAATGTGCATGTTGTGTACTGAGGTTATTTAAGATATTTAAATAATTTCTTTAAATTAAATTATTTATTATTTTTTTCCCCAATTAAGAAATAAATGAGTTCAAAAAAAAAACAAATAGAGTAAATTAGCTAATTCGAGCGATGACGTTGTACGATATAACTCGAGAAAAAAATAATTAAAAAAAAAAGGAATTGTTAAAATGTATCTTGTGAAACAAAAAACAAGTAAGAGGTTCTGGTCGAGAGCTAGGGGATACCCTGAACCCTCTTATTCCAACACCAAATGCAAATTTAAAATAAAAAAGTTCCCTTGACAGGGTTCGAACTCGCAACAGACCGCATTATTTGCTGCCGCCTCTACTCAGCAGCCACAACAGCCAAAAATATAAAGAATGTTTTCCTCGGTAGGGTTCGAACTCACAACAGACCGCACTACTTGCCGCCGTCTCTTCCCAAGAGCCACACCAATGTGTGTACATCCAGAAAAGCTAGCAATTTGCTGCCGCAAACACGTGGGCAGCCAAAACACATTTTCTATCGTGTTTCTTAACCGATCTTGATGAAATTTTTAGCAATAGATCTTCTTGTACTGTAAAATATTCGTGTATTCTCAAAATGACAATTTAATTTATATTGTGCCTTATATTGGCGAGCAGCATAAATTGGTTTACTTACTTAATTTATAGAGGATCTAGCCATGTCCGTCTGTCTGTCCGTCCGTGCGTCCGTATGAACCCAAGGATCTCAGAACCTATAAGAGCTAGTGACTTGAAATTTTAGCTGTAGGTCCTCCAAGTGCCCGCGCAGATCGATTTTGTTTCCGATATTCGATAACTTGCCCCGTTTCCACGTAATCGATAAAAATCGATATCGAAATTCTGTTTTTTGAGCAATTTTGGTAAATAATAAGAGCTATAGTCACCAAACTGGACATGTAACTTTTATAATAGTATATATATATCAAGTATCTTTCATTTTATAGCTATCACCACCTCCCCGCTATGACCTAATAGCTATAAATCAAGTTAATAATCTAACTTGTATTGCCCACCAATTTGAGACACAATTTAAATGCAATAGACATTTTGCGAATACACAAATATTCTATGGGACCATAATATGTACTGTCGAAAACTTCATTAAGATCGGTTAAGAAAAGCAAAAAATATATGTTTTGGTTGAGCACGTATCAGCGGAAGCTTTGTGCGTCTGCTTTGAATTCTATCAACAGCATTGCAATTGCGATTGTTGGTTTTCAGTGCTGCTATTTATACCTGAACCCTTTGAAAATGGGTAAAGAGGGTATAATATATGTGTGCAAATGTATGTAACAGGCAGAAGGAAGCATCTCCGACCCCATAAAGTATATATATTCTTGATCAGCATCAACAGCCGAGTCGATCTAGCCATGTACATCTGTCTGTCCGTCCGTCCGTCCGTATGTATGAACGCAAGGATATCAGAACCTATAAGAGCTAGAGACTTGAAATTTTAGCTGTAGTACCCGCGCAGATCGTTTGTTTGATATTCGATAACTTGCCCCGTTTCCACGTAATCGATAAACATCGATATCGAAATCTTGTTTTTTGAACAATTTTGGTAAATAATAAGAGCTAGAGTCACCAAACTTGACATGTAGCTTCTAGAATAGTGTATATATATCAAGTATCTTTAATTTTATACCTATCGCCCCCTCCCGCTACAACCAAATAGCTTTAAATCGAGATAATAAACCAACTTATTTTGCCCACCAATTTGACCCAGAATTTTAATGCATTTTACAATTTGAGAACATACAAATGTTCTATAGCACAATAAGATCTTTTAAGAAACACAGAAGTTATTAAAGAAAACTTGTTTTGGCTGGCCACGAGTCTGGGGCAGTAAGCGCAATTTCAAGAATTTTTGTATACATATACACACACACATTCATGCGCGTCTTTATTGAATTCTATCAACAGAATTGCAATTGCGGTTGAGTTGTTTTCTATGCTGCTATTTTAATCCGTTTTTTTCTCAATATGATTCAATTATTGGTGTGGCTGTTGGGTAGAGGCGGTTTATTTTATTTACTGCTGAGACACACGAGCGCGTAGCTCGAGCTGCATTTGGTGTTGGTAGAAGAGGGTTCAGGGTATCCCCTAGTCGGGAACTTGTTAGCTTTTCGCTCTTTCGGCTGAGAGCGCAAAGATTCTGATTTCGTTTTCGTGCTAAATTTTCAAAAAATCAAGCTGTATAATAGCATTTTGTTTTATGGCGTTACTCATCTTAGTTTTTATATTGTCTTTTGTTTTGGGTAGCACTTTTATAACAACCCAATGGTAAATAGCATCAGGTTGTGGGCTGGAGCAAGATAACACCCCCGCTGGAAAAGAAGTTGCACAGCTACTATTTAGAAGTAAATGCAGCAGGCTACATCATTAGGATGGGTTCAGAATTCAAATTAATTACAGACTGTATAGCATTCAAAAAGAAAGCACGAGGAAAGAAGTCCCAAGATATTTCATCGAGTGGCTAATGAAAATCAAGCAGACATCAAATTGAAAGCACGTTGATAGCTTAGGTCCCTTCCGGTAATAACTGTGTCGTCAGAGATTCATGTCCGAATCTTGGCAGCGCAACACAAAATGATCATTTGGATGCTTTATCCAAAATATTTGAGTAATGACCATATTTAAGCCATTTAAGTTAAAATATACCTAAAATGCCATGTTCTCCTTTTTGAAGCGAACAGACGTGATTTTTATGCTCTCCGTTTTGCTCTCCAATTTTAAACATCGGCGTTTTAACATCTCTAATTAAAAATCATCATTCAATATGTTCGCCATCTTGGTTTATTTTTGTTTTATCGCGAGTGCATGCTTGTGGTAGTAAAATATTTTAATTTTGTCATTTCTTAAATTTGTGTTCTGTGCATTTTTGCTTGTTGTTGTTTATGTTTAGCTGCACTTCGCCTGTCTTGTGCAAGATTTCGTGAGCAAGCGATAATCTATAAACAAATTACTCTTTCGCACTCTTACGCCTTTTTTCAGCTTGCGCTTTGATATATTTATATATTCTGCAGTCGTGGTATCCTACTGAGCGACAGCAACAATTAAATTAACAGCGACCGGTAGAAGGCTTGTAGTCCGGACTACCAGCTTTTTTTAGAGGCCACAGCTGATAGTGTCTGCACTGTCACACCTATGTTGCTCAAGCCTCTAGTGTGCGTTATGCAGTTGCCAGGTCAGCCTTTTCTACGCAAAATTCCATATGTTATAAGGATTACCGTTTACAACTTTGTTAACTTTAAACGTAAGACATCCATTTTGTCATCTTCATTTAAGTTTGCTGAAGAGAACGCGAATAAAGTTCCAGCCATTGCCGGTCTGTTCGCAATTTTTTTTCAAACTTCCTACTGCTCCACTGGGTATATTAAAATCAGCCTTATCCCCATCAGTTTGCATCTCAAATTCTATTATTTTTCAAGTTAGCTATACCGCGACCTTAACATAATCAGGCCGGTATACACACCATGCTCTGAAGGTGATCCCTCTTGTGATCTACATTTAAGTAGATCCTTACTGCTTAAAACTTAAAACGGTCACTATTAAAACTGGACCTCAGTAACCCAAAAGGTTATTTTCAGAAATTCGTTTTGTAAACGTATTCAGGTGATTTCTGGTGTTTCCCTAGGTAGTCATCTTGGCACGCTACTCTTAACTCTTTTCATTAATGACCTTTCCTCGATTATGTAAAGTTGTGCCTTGCATATAAAGATATGGCATCATGTAATCTTTTACCAGCCGACATTGATGCCTTGTCAAGTTGGCCTGTTAAATTAAAACTGTTCCAAATGCGAGGTAATTACTTTTTATTGAAACTGTTACGGAACTGCTTTTTCCCTTCGCCCCGGCTGGCTCATCGGTTCTCTATCCCTGGCCCGCAGTCGGCACAATCGATATCAACGAGCTACCTTTGAACATCTATAGCAAACGGAACTACACAACACTATAGCAAAACGAACTACAAAATTGATCAACATCTAACAGGTGGAACTACCAATGAATGAACAACATAAACAGCTGGAACAGCAAATAATTGAAAACAACAAAGGTGAGAATCCAATATAATATAATAAAAGGCATTGTTAACCCACTTGACTCCTCCAGATCGAGTCCCGGCTACGGAAACAGGCATACCTGCCCTACCTGAGACGAGCACCTCATCTCGCCTCTCTTATTTTGGCCACTTGTTGGCCTACATCAGCCTGTGTCGGCAGTCATGGCCTTCTCTCCCCGTCAACAGACAATTTATCGGATATTTTTCTTTGCATCTTATAATTATTGACAATATTAATATTTCTTACTTCTCTTTACAGAACATTTCATATACAGGGTATACCACAAAACTGAAACGGGCAAAATAACACTGCCAGAAGAGGTGGCCAAAGGCCACCAGAACAAAACGAATAAATATAAGTTTAATCTTTGTATTTGCACCAATGGGGAACAAACTACCCTCTTAAATAAGTAAATACTCATGTATGTCAAAAATATTATATAAGTGGTGAAATAAATATGTTGAATCGTTTATTCTACCTTACTCTGCCTAAAGTGCTCTTTGGGTTGATAAGGGCAAAAAAGGTACATTTTGTGTACATATGTATAGGTGAGTACCGTTCGTGCATGCGTTGAATAATTGAGATTT